ACTGGTGAATGACTCGAACAGCGTATTGATGAAGTGTCATTTCCAAAAATGTAAACAACATAACAACTGAGTAACAGCAAAAATACAGACAATAATATAATCATGTCCTCCCCAGTGAGGAGATCTAAGTGGATCACAGTGGTCATTTACTTGGAGTCAACAGTACTTGAGATAATCTTTTCCCAGTTGGCAGACCTAGTTTCCAAGTTTGGACAGGTGAACAGGTGTGTCCAATCGTATGGGCTCGGACAACGCAACAAATCTCAGGAATTTCTGCAAAATATAAAGTCTAGTACAACAGAACTTCTCATTTCATAATTTTATAGTTTGGATTCATCTTTTATAGTATGAAGTGGTTGACCGCCAGTCACACATTTATAGGCCTGTTAGGAGCCATCACAGGCAATGTATATCTGGAGTTTGATGCAACACCAGACAACATCCTGGTCTCACCAACTGCTCCCACAGAAAGCTTGCACTCTCTGTACGGATTCCAGGCCTCATCGGGAGCAAACCATCCTACCCCAGTTTACCCCTGACTGCAGTCAATCCCCCTTCACCTCATGGAGTGATAGTACAGGTTATCTCTTGCCTCCATGCTATAAAAGAATTTTATCCATCTTCACATTAACTATACCATTGAGTGTGAAATCATTTCTGCACTTAACTAGAATATTACCAGTTCATCATAAGAAAATTGTAAACATGATACGAGCCAGAGCCCATAGGGAGGTCCACAAACATCAGTCCTTCATTTGCAGTCTTGCCAACCAGCTTTTCAACATAAGCTTTTCTTCTGCGAGGCCCAGCACCTCACACATGGTTATTTCACAATCACATATATTCTTGCATAGACTCATAAGCCAAAAGGTTTCTGTCATTTTTGATTCCAAATAATTCATGCCACCTGCTGTAACACTACCGGGATAAAACACACAAATATGAGCACTGCAAAACAATCAGTGTCTGATTTAGAATTCCCAAACCACACTGTTTTGCCTGATCTTCACAAACATCACTGGTGTGACATGAATAGCACAGAAACAGATCGTTCTATACAGTGATGACCATTAGGCTTCAGGATGTTACAAGTTTTATAGTTTTCCATTGGCTTCTTTCCCCCCTTAGTGGCATGTCTACCCCATCCTAGGAGACAAAACCAAGCACAATTGCAGTCCCTCTGCACACAGCATCACATATGTCCTTCACTTCTTGAAGCCAGGGCTTAGCTTTAGCCTTTACCCTTAGCACTGCTGCCAGAACAACTTGGCAGCACACAGTTCAGGAATAATATTCCAATTCTGATTGTTGCTTACCAGTAATACAAAACAAAGCATACAGATTGTTGGTGCAACTCATCTAAGAAATATAGACCTTATCTCTGGAGCAGTAGATCCAGGGATCCATTAGGACACAAGACCTGCTATGCAGAAAAGAATAACCAATCCAGCTTGTTATTCAAGATACATGACCTGCACTGAATAGGCTAATGCAGGAGTAGTCATGGCTGTGATAGCTATATCCTCCCAGCCCCTGGCCAGGACATTGTTCATTACATGAATCACAACATCAGATGTGGACAAGACACACGAGAGACAGGTACATGATAACTGAGTCATTACACCAGTTAGTAAAATTTAGTAGACACAATTAATTATATTTAGGATATGTTTTTCTTCCATGTGATATTCGGGCTGGTCTTGTGCTGCTCAGCATTCACTGATCTCTGTCCAGAATTCTTGCCGCTCATGATAAGGTTTCATCAAACATGCTGGAAGCCAGCAGGGTCCTGTGGGAGACAAAACACAAACAACTCCCCCCTTCCCAATACTAACAACTTAATATCTACTTGAGGTGTCATATTACCCCTCCTCGTTACAACAGTATAATTTTATCAAGTTAAGGTTTTGTTCTGTGGGTGGGAGGCCTGGAAGGTCACCAAGTTGCTGCCACCTCTCTATGATCTCTTCTATGGGTGCCCCGCGTTAGACACTAACAGTGGAATAATGTATGGTTTCCAGGGTACAGGACAGCCTTCTAACAGTTTGTTTCGCATTACTGGAGTTAAAGGCTGTTGCACGTAAAGTTCAGGGCTCTGCAATTCAACAGTTACTTTCATCCCTTCCCCCTTTAATATTTTGATTGCTTGATGAAGAGTTACCCAGGATGAACTTCCATCCTGCCATGATCCATCATTAGTAAAATGGTCATTAAGACCTTCAGCAATAACTGAAACCAAAGTTCTATCAACTCCCAGTGTTCGTCTTAAACGCCGAACGGCATTTTGTACATATACATCATTAGTTAACCCTAAAAACTTCGTGGCCTCAACATCGTCTATTATCACAGAGTCAGCCCCTTGCTCCATTAGCCTAACCATCCACATTTGTGCTCATTCCCCAGGTTGCTGAGAATTTTTGGATAAAAGATTTTTAATATCCTCTGGGGAGAAATCAGCAACTTCATCCTGCCTCACTCAGTTACCCTGGTTATCTATCACAGCCTTCCGCCCGTACAACAGGGTCAACTGTTGTTACTCTATGTGCCAACTCATCTGCTGTTGATAACTTCTCTGAATTTTCTATAAAATCGTCCTCATCAGAATCGTCACTACTACTCTATATGTCACCATCCCACTTCTCTGGATCCCAATCAGGGGAAGTGAATATAGCTCGCACCCGTGGCCCCTGATCACTTCAGTTTATTTTCCTTTGTCTGCACCGAACAGTTCTCACAGCATATTTGTCAGCTAAAGTAGCACATTTATCTTCTACCCCGTTCTTTTCAGCCTGAAGGTCAAGTAAAGTCTGGCGTTGTACCAACTGAGTGGCTCTTACAGCATTCAGCTGCTCCTGCAGTTTTTTGCATTTTTCCACAGTTAGCTTATATGCAGTAAGCAGTGCACCCTCCATTCATCCAGCCTGTTCCAGACGACTGCTTGATTTAGTGGTAGAGGTAAACTGCTCCCAGTATTGCAATACCTCCATCGGGGTCTGCTGCCCCCAATACTCAAGAGGAATCCTTGTACATGCTTCCCACTTATTGCACAAAGTAATCCATGGCTCCTGCCCCAATTCTGTTAATTCACAGGGAGGAGCTTTCTTGGGTTCATTGCCGTCTGTGGCTGACCCTCCTAACCACTTTTTCATCTTAATCTACTAATGTTCTCACTAACAAAACAACAACAAAAGATTCTCAATTTTCAAGCTAAACAAAATGAGACACACCAATCCACAAACTATGGCTCTTACATCACAAACAAGCCTAACTACACATACACATCTAATCTAAAATCTGTATATACCAACCACAAAATACACGCTCTACAGTAACTCTGAATGAATCCTCAAAAAGACATATCTATGAGTGAAACAACAATAAAACCTAATCCACTGAGTATCTTCGAAGCTTTCATTCACTCCACACCGAATACAATAAAAATTTAAACTCCAATCTAGCCTTATCTCCTGGCTGCCTCTATGTCCCAGGATATATTTATTACAATTAATACAATGAAGTCGTACATATAAACAACAGTTGCAAAAAGGACAAATTTAATTCTAGGTCTCAAGAAGTGTGGTATACTCACAATTAATTGCTCAGAACTACCTCCCATATGCAAAAAACAAACAAAGCATATAAAACACAAGCACTGTCACCCATATAGTAACTTAATCAACAAGAACAACAAAACTCAGTTTAAAACAAAGTAAAACAAACAGAAGATATGAACCCAGACACCGGCACCCACGGCGCCCACACAGAGTTCACCACCCACACAGGGATGTGGCTTCCCAGGCTATGCTCTCCACCTGAGAATCTCCCTTTTCACACAACTCACACGGGGACGTGGTTCTACAGGCTGTGCACTCCACCTGAAGAGCTCCCCACCACACACACAGGGACACGGTTTCGTTGGCTGAGCACTCCACCAACGAATTCCCTGGAGGGCACTGCTTATTCCTCCATGTATCCTGCCGACTACGCCAATTTATGTAACAGTTCGTTTGGATACATGTCTGGAAAAAAGACAAGTGCCAGAAATATTCAAACACACAAAATATCTTTTATTACAGTGAGAATAATAACAATAGTAATAAACTTAGCAAGAGGAACTAAAAACTAAAAAAGGATACAAAATAACTACCTTATCAGGTGGCATTAAAACTAATACTACAAACAGCATTTAATACAGTATTAACTAGTGAAAAGGGATACCAAAAAAGGATCTTAACACAATATTATGGAGAACACAATATTGGTTAGTAAAAAGGGAAACTAAAGGAAAAATACTATAAACATAAAAGGGGAATTAAAGGAGCACTAAAAGGATATTAAAAAGTTTGTTCTCTCAGTTGCTTCCTATCAAAACACTGTGCTTACCCACACAGACAGGCCAGGGCTGTCAGGATCTGCAGCAGCTGGTCAGTGCCCGTGCTTAGCGGGCGTCCCTGCGGAGCAACACAGTCTCGGTGGTAGGATGAGTATCGCTCAACTCAGCAGTCCCGACACCCCATTTTTATCAGTTCCACATTACACTACGTAGGGCCAGTACGCAGTATAAGGTGATGCCTGAGTGGCAGCCAAACACCGCCTAACCATTACCTAATGGTAACAGTCTGCGCATGCCCTACTTGTAGGGCAAGGGGCGAGCGACCCTTGCCCACATAATCTTCCTCCCATCATCATCTTTCTCACCCCTATGTATGACCTCTACCATTGTGTTTCAAGGGTAGATGTATCCATCTTGCAATATGTAGCAAAACCAAGGAAGAACTCAGCTCTGATAATAGGAGATATCAAGTTGACTTGCTAAAAAGCACAATGGACCTTACAATTAGCTTGTGCCATGAAGTTACATTGTACCATACTCTAGCTGGTTTCACATCCTAATATGATTCCGTTCTCACGCCTCTATGCTCCATTGATCATCTAATTCAAAAGTACCCCCCTTACACGGGGCCAGCGCTCTGCTCTCCTCCCCTCCCCACCACTCCTTCCTCGGGATAGTGGTTCGGGGCGGGGCACTCTCCCCTCCAACTCACCAGCTCCCCTCTCCTCAAGTCCCTCTACCTCGGAATGTTGCTCTGGGGAGGGCGGTCTGCTCTCCTTTCCTCCCGCCCTCAACACATTCAAGCCAATCAGAGCGCTCTTTGCTTATGACTCATCAGTTGCCAGGCAGACCAGCAGAACCCAGCCCCCATACTAAACCAATTAAAATGCATTTCGCTCATGACTCCTCAGTTACTAGGCGGAGCAGTGCCCAATACACCCATGCATCTCGGCCAATCAGAGCGCGCCCTGATTACGTGTCCTCAGTTGCCAGCCTGCCCAGCAGCACGGATGAGCGCCTCGCGGGGCTGCGACCCCAACCTTGAGCCCAGCCGCCCCCGGAAAGGGCTTTGTGGAGGGGGGAAGTGGAGATCGCCCAGGCCAGGATCCCCCAATGCTGTCCCGAGGGTCGCGGCTGTGGCAAGTGCCGAGTGTTGCCAGTCAGAGTCGGGGTGGGGCTGTAGCTTCCCGGAGTTCCGGAGGTTTTGTGGGCGGGGTCCCAGGAAGAGCCGGGACTTGCGGGGTGGGGTCAAAAGTATAAGTTTTATTGGAAGGAGGTAAATGCTGCCAGTGACCCCCCGCCACTGCAGTGGCCCTGGCATCGGGTGAGGGGGACCCAGGCGTCTGGGGTGTTGAATAGGGGGGACCCAGGGGTCAGGAGGGGATGGGGGGATTAGGTGGAGTCAGGTGTAATTAGTAACCGTCAAGTGGGTAGATATGGGGTCACGCAGGGTTCAGACTGGGTCAGAAGGGGTTGGGTAGAGTCACAGCTGGGGTCATGGTTGGTGTCAAGGTGAGGCCAAGGGCTGGCAGGGGTCAGACCAGGCTCACAGCCAGGCCAGGGAGGGATCAGGGTCAGGTGGGGTCAGTCAAGGGGTTGAGGTCAGCCAGTTCAGGCGGTGTCACATACGGGTCAGGTATGTTCCGAAAGGGTCGGAAAGGGTTGGGTGAGTCACAGAGTGTTCAGGAAGTCACACAGGGGCCAGGCCAGGGTTATGGTGAGCCCGGGGGCTGGCAAGGCACCATGCGCAGACGAAATGGGGGGCAGCGCAGCACGGTTCCTGGTGACACCCCAAGTCCTGGCAGTCCCTCCGGGCCCGGCTCCAGTCGGAACTCCCGCAGGATCAGCCCCAGGAACACGAAGAGCTCGGCCCGCGCCAGCGCCTCTCCCGGGCACGATCGTGCCCCACAGCCAAATGGCAGCAGCGACCGCCACGGAGCGCCCGGGGACAGGAACCGCTCTGGGGGGGGGGGGAGCAGAGGACAGGTTTGGGGGGCCTCCATAGGGATGAGGGAGACACACAGGTTTGGGGGGGAGTCCGGGAGGATGGGAGGATCCAGGAGTTTGGGGTGGACCCACAGATCTGGAAGGAACTCCAGGGTTCAGGACAAGGGCACAGGGGTTTGGAGGATGACCCAAGGGGGTCAGGGGAGACCCACATGTTTGGGGAGGGGTCAGACACCTGAGGGAAGTCCCGGGGGCTCAGGGGGAACCAGGAGGACCCACAGGTTTTGGAGAGTACCCAGATGTATGAGGAGAACCCAGGGGGATGGAGGACCCACATGTTTGCAGGAGGCCCTAGGTTTTTGGACTGGACCCAGGGGATAAGGGGACTGGGAGGGGATAGGGGTTCAGGGGGAGAACCCCAGGGTTTTGGAAGGGCCCCGGGGGTGCAGGGGTACCCACATACCAGGCAGGAAGGCCTCGGGTTGCTGCCAGATGACAGGGTCCTGCTGGGCTGCCAGCAGGTTGGGGACCAGGATGGTGCCAGCCACTATGGGGAGCCCTCCGAGGCTGGGGGGGACAGGGGGTCACTGAGATGGACTGAGATCTGCTGTGGGCTTTGCTGAGGGCTACTGAGAGCTACTGGGGCCATACTGGGACCTGCTGGTGCCATAGTGGAACCTACTGAGGCCACACAGGGACCTGCTGGGGCTATGCTGGGGCTATACTGGGGCTCTCTGGGGTCTTCTGGGATCTACTGGATGTCTACAGGGTCCATACTGGAATCTGCTAGGGGCTACTGGGAGCTATTGAGTGTCTATTGGGGTCTACTGGGGTCATACAGAGACCTGCTGGGGCCATACTGGGGTTCTCTGGGGTCTACTGGTACTCTTTGGGGATTACTGGATGCTTATTGAGGTCTAATGGGGCCACACTCAGACTTACTGGGGCCTTACTGGGACCTTCTGCTGGAATCTTCTGGGCTCTGATGGGGACTACTGGGATCTACTGGGTGTCTCTTAGGGTCTACTGCAGTCTGCTGGGACCAGTTGGGGCCTACTGGGATGTACTGGGGTCATACTGGGGCCTACTGGGGGTCTACTGGGGCCGTACTGAGACCTGATGGGTCTTACTAGAATTTATTGGCGTCTACTGGGCGGTACCGGGATCTACTGGGATTTACTAGGTTCTGCTGGGGTCTGCTAGATTCTACTGGGATTTACTGGGTTCTCCTGGACTCTACTGGTGACGCTGAGTAGTCCCTATTGGTATGTAGTGATTCCTCCCAGCTCCCCCTCATCCATACTGGTCCTGACTGGATTCTCCTGGATTCTACTGGGACTTACTGGGACCTACTGGGCCCTAAAAGGACTTACTGAGCCATACTGGTCTATTGGCATCTACTGGGGTTTACTGGGGCCCTGCTGGGGTCTACTGGGCCCTTCTGGGCCCTGCTGAGAGTAACAGGGACCTGATGGATCTGTTTGGGTCTACTGGGGCCATACTGGGACCTAATGGGTCTTACTGGGCTCTGCTGTGGTCTAGTGGGTCCTACTGGGACTTACTGGGGTCTACTGGGCCCTACTGGGTTCTCCTATTGATGAGGTCAAGTGGTCCCTACTTGTCTGTAGTGGTTCCTCCCAGTTCCCCCTCACCCAGACTGGTCCAGACTGGTCCATAGTGGTTTCTCCCAGCCCCCCTCCTTACACTGGCCGTTCTCATCCTGTACTGGTCTGTACCTGGTGTGGCGCAGGGCACAGTGAGGCAGCCCCAGGGGTGCGGGGGGCCGCAGCCGCAGAGTCTCACTGACGGTGGCCTGAAGGAGGGGCAGGCGTCCCGTGTCCCCCGGCCCGGGGGGACCCTGTAGCCCCCTGAGCTCCGCCCGCAGCCGCGCCTGCAGCTGCACAGGTGAGGCACAGGTGTGCACAGGTGTGTCATGTCTGTCACAGGGTGTTGAGGGAGGGGGCACCCAGGGGGCACCCAGTGGCAATGGGGTGACAGAGGGACCCTCCTGAACCCCAGACCCTCTCAAACCTGTCCCTGGGACTCCAAGTCCTCCAAAGCCTCCCCCTCCTTCGGGGACCCCCATGAACCCCCAGACCCCCAAACCTGCTCCTGTGACCCCAAAATATTCCCAAACCTGCCCCTCTCCCAGTCTTGGGGACCTCACGAGCCCCCAGGCCCTGCCCAAGCCCCCAAACCTGCCCTGGAACCTCCAGACCCCACCTCCAAACCTGCCTCTCCCTCTGCCTTGGAGATGCCCCCACCAAACATCAGAGACCCCTGAACCCCCAGACCTGCCCCTTGGGACTCTCCCTCCCCAGATCCTAAGCCGCCCCTCCATGGAAACCCCAAACCAAGGAACCACATAGGGACACAGACACAGCTGTGACACGGCTGTGATACGTGTGTGGCATCTCAGGCCTAGGGGACAGTGGTGGCCACAAGGTACACATGGGACACATGTGGGGACATGAGACCCACCCAGGGACATGCACTGGGGCTTGGACATGGTTGTGACATGTGTCACATGGCTGTGACATGTGTGACATGTGTGTCACCTCAGGGCGGTGCAGCAGGAAGGCCACAGCCCAGCCCAGTGCAGCCGCTGTCGTCTCGGTGCCCCCGATGAACAGGTCGACCAGCGCCATGTGCAGCCGGAGGGGGCTCAGGGGAGCCCCCTGCACTCCAGGATCACACCCCAGCAGCGCCCCCAAAACTGTGTCCGAGGGGGGGGAGGGACACTCCTGGGGAAGGGGGGACACGTGTTGTGGGTGTTCCCCTGACCCCTTGTTGTCCCCAAACATGGGGGTCCCTCCCAAAGCTCTGGGTCCCCCCAAACCTCTGGCTCCCCCCGAACCCCTGGTGTTCCTCCAAGACCCCCTAGGTCCCCCTAATCCCCTGGGTCACCCCAAAAATGCAGGTCCTCCCAAAACCCTGGGAACCCCCAGACCCACAGGTATCCCCAAAACCCCTGGGATCCCCAAACCCCTGGTTTCCGCTCCACAACCCCTCATTCCCCCCCAACACCTTATTCCCACGAAACCCTCCTGATCCCTGGTTGCCCCCCACCTGGTGCCGCCGGATCTGGGCCTCCACAAAGGCGTCACGGTGCTGGACAAGCCGCAGCAGCTCCCGCAGCCCCGGGTTGGGTAGGGCCTGGGCAAAGGGACCCCATAGAGACCCCCTGACCTCCGAGAGACACTCCCTCCCCCAGAGATGCCCCATAACTTCCCTCAGCCCCAGAAAAACCCTATGCGTGGTCCCCTGGGCCATACAGACCCTATAGGTGCCCCTCCAACCATATAAACTCACCTGAGTTCTTATAGGTACCCCCAGCTCCACAGAGACCTTTACCCCACACACATCCTCCATATAGACTACCTCAGTCCTATAGAGCCCCCATAACTGCCCCTCCCAGCCTCGCAGTGCTCCCCAACACCATATAGACCCTGTAACACCCTCCCCAGCTCCATATAGACACTATAACACCCCTCCCAGCCCCACGTTCCTTCACCCAGATCCACATCCCCCTCAGCCCCACAGAGACCCTATTATACCCCTCTCAGGGCCATACAGCCTCTCCCCAGCCCCATAAAGACCACCCAAGCCCCATATGGATCCTGTATGCCCCCTGCCAGCCTCACATACCCTCCCCCAGCCCCATATAGAACCTGTGACACCTCCCAGCCCCATAGCCCACCCTGGGCCCTATAGACACCCCCCCCTTTCCCAGGACCCTATGGCCCCCCAGGGGCCCCCATAGAGCCCCATAGTCCCCACACTGCTCCCATAGGGCTCTGTAGCCTCCCCTAGGCCCCAAAGATGCTCATAGTGTCCCCATAGTGCCCCATAGCTCCCTCCCCCCTCCAGCTCACCCGCAGCGGGGGCAGCAGATCAAGAGCCCGCACAGTGCTGCGCCCCCAAACCTGCAGCAGCTCCCCCAGACAGCAGGAGAAGGCCCGGAGTTCCCCTGGCGGGGGCACCTGGGAGAGGACACACCTGGGTACTCCTCACTACCCCTGGCTTCACCCTGGATCCCCCCAGAACACCCCAAACATAGCTCCAGACACTTGGGTCCCCTCAAACTTCTGGTGCCCCCAAACTCCTGCCAGCCCCCCCCCCCCAAACACCTGGGTGTCCCCTTCACAAACTTCTGGACCTCCCCAAACCCCTTGGCCCCTCTGAACCTCTGGGTCCCTCAAAAACCTGGGTACTCCAGGGGTCCCTCCAAACCCCTGGGCCCCCATGAAAACCCGGGTCCCCCCCAAACCCTGCCCCCATCCCAGAGACCCACAATCCCCACCAGGTCCCCGAAGAGGAGGCGTGCGATGGTGCTGCAGGTGTGGAACGTGAACACCTCAAAAGGGTCCAGGGGGGCTCCCCCATGGGAACGCAGCTCCTGAGGGAAAGCGGGGGTCAGGGGAGGTCCTTGGGGGAATTGCGGGTGCTCCGGGAGGGTTACTGGGGAGCTATAACAGGGATTTGAAGTGTCCCAGGAGGGTACTGGTGGGCTCTAAGGGTGGCTTGGGGGGTCCCAGGGGAGGAGTGGGGGGCTCTCAGGGGAATTGGGGTGCAGAGCATGGAGGTTGGGTGCAGGCAGCCGAGTTTGGGGGTCAGTTTTCAGGTGCAGGGGGCATGGTTACCGTGCATGGGTGGGGTTTGGGTGCAGCGAGTGGGGTTTAAGGTATCAGTTTTGGGCGGGGTTTTGCTGGTCAGTTTTGCATGGGGATCTGGTTTTAGATGCATGGGAGTATCACTTTTGGGGAGCCTCAGCTTTTCGGGGGGCTCAGATTCAGAGGGGTTACTTTTGGGGCAGGGTCAGTTTTAGGGGTGTCAGCTTTGGGGTCCCACCTCACACAACTCCTGGCCCTGCAGCCAAAGGAGGGGCCCGAGCCGTGTCCCAGCCCGTGCCAGCGCCCCCCGGGCTGCTCCCCGCTGCTGCCGCCAGCCAGGGCATGGGCCCCCCAACGCCAGGTCCTGGCCTCCATGCGACACCAGCGACCCTGGGGTAGGCAGAGGGGTCAGGGACCCCCACAGACACCCCAGCCCCCAAAGGCACCCCCCTCCACTGAACCAAGGGTACCCTGCAGGGCCACCCTATCCCACAGAACCCCCTTCAAGCCCATAGCCCCACCTATAGGTCCCCCTCATTCCCACCAGCGATGCTAGGAGGAAAGAAGGGGGTGACTGGGAGGGGCAGGGACCCCCAGAGACCCCTCCAGTCCTCCACTGGAGGCACTCCACTTGGATCGGGGGTATCCCAGGACCCCCAGAACTGCCAGCACTTACATCCCCAACCTCATAGGGACCCTCCCAAATCCCATAGTGACCCCTCCAATGCCACAGGAACCCCCCCAAACCTTATAGTGCCCCTCCACCCCATAGGAGCCCCCCAAACCCCATAGCGATACTCTTCAGTTCCCATAGAAATTCCCCAACTCCCCTAGGAACCCCTCCAAACCCCCCATAGCACACCCAGCTCTCCCTGCCCCCCATACCCAGGTAACTGGGGGGGCGCCCCAGCCAGTCCCCACAGTGCCGGACCAGTGCCTCCCGTATGATCCCCGCCGAACTCAGCACCAGCACGTCTGGGGGGAAGAGGAGGGGCTGGGGGGAACCCCAAAACTGGAAGGGGATCCCAAACCAGGGGGGGGAGCCCGGGGGGGGGGTTTGGGGGGGGGGGGGGCGGTCCCAGGGAAGGGTTGGGGATTGGGGGATCCCCAAGGGCATTAGGAAGGAGCAGGTTTGAGGGGGGACTGGGGTCCCAGGGCAGGTTTTAGAGGTTGGGGGGACCCTCGCGGCGGGGGGGAGGGGCTGGTTTGGGGGTGCATTGCGGTGCCAGAGCCGGTTTGGGGGTTCGGGGGGGAATCTAGGGTGTCGGGGGGTCCCCAAAGAGGGGGGAGAGGCAGGTTTGGGGTGTTGGGGCGTCCCCAAGGGAGGGTGAGGGGGAGATTTGGGGGTTAGGGGGTCCAAGACAGGGTTTGGGGTTCGGAGTGGTCCCCAAGACGGAGGCAGGGGCAGGTTTGGGGAGTCCCCGAGGGCGGGGGAAAGAAGAAGGTAGGATGTGGAAGGGGGCGCGTTAGGGAGTCCCAGGGCAGGTCTGGGAGAGGTCGGGGCGGGGGAGGCGTGTTGGGGTTGGCCCCTCTCCACTCACCGCGCCCCCCCAAGCGCATGCGCAGCAGCGGCCCGCGCCGCCGCGCCAGGCGGCTTAGGTGCAGCGCCCCCTGCGGGTGCAGCAGGTGCAGCGCCCCCCAGCGCCCCGCGCCTCGCCTCAGCAGCGCCGCCAGCGGCGGCAGCAGGAGCAGCAGGACCAGCAGCAGCGCCGCGGCCGCCATCGCCCTTGCGGGGCGCCCGGGCAGGCTCCTTACCGGAGGGCAACGGTAACCTCGCAGGCGGCCACCGCCACTATATAGGTGGGCCCAAAGCCCCGCCCCATAAAGGGGCCCCCCTGAATCCCTGCCCCCCCGAGGCTCCGCCCTCCGTAGAGGACCTCCGAAGTCCCCTCGCTCGTTAAGCTCCGCCCAGCACCGGCAGCTCAGCCATGAGGCAGGGGAACCCTATGCCCTGAACAGCGTCCCCTGGGGGTGCCTGCCCCCAGTTCCCCCCCACTCCGGCAGCAACGCTTGAGGGTCACAGACGTGTATTGGGGTGTGGTAGCGCTGGAGACGGTCCCCCAACAGAGTGAGGGTCCTAGGAGGATCCCCTTGGGGGTGGTGTCCCCATGAAGGGCTACTGAGGTGTCAAGGATGGGGGTCTCTAACAAACTTAGGGGTGCCGGGGTCAGGAAGGGGACCCCCACCCTGGATAGAGGTCCCTTTGGGGGAGGCTTCGTGGGGGGGTATTGGGGAAGAGGGTGAGGGGATGGGGGGAACGCATCTCAGTGTGGAGGTCCCGTAGGGGTCCCCCATAAGATTAGGAGTGTGAAGGTGTCAGGATGGGGGCCCCAGGGTGGGGGTCTTGATGGAATGGTCCTGGGGGCTGGGTCCAGGTGTGGGGATCCCAGGGCTGTCCCACTCAGACATCACCCCCCAGATGCCCTACAGGTGCCAGGCCAGCGGCAGGTCCTTGAGGAACAAGATGATGCAACAGGTGTGCGGCAAGCACAGGTACATGTCCTCCAGCAGCGCACTGTCACCCCCACCCCAAAACCACTCAGCACCCCCAACCACCCCACAGCCTCCTCCAGGGGCAGCAACCCTGCAAAATACACCTCCAGGGGACAGTGTCCCTCCAAACCCAACCACAGTGAACTCAACACCCTGCTCCCCTAAAAGTGGAGAGGGGGCTCCAACACCCAGCAACGCTCTTCCCACACCTTGATAGCCCCCCCTGGGGAAAAGTGACCCCTCAGCACCCTCAGGTCTCTCAGAGACTCCCCCAACACCCATGGGACCCCCCTCTCCCAGCACCCATAGTACTGCCCTAGCCCCCCTGGAACACCCTTCAGGTCCCAGAAGACCCCCAAAATTCTCAGTCCCCATGCCCCCCCCTCAGCCCCAATAGCCCCACCCTTAGCAACCATGGAGACCCTCCTAAATGTCCCCAGCCCCACAGAGACACCCCCAGCACCCATAAGACCCCTCCCCAGCATTTATGAGATCCCCCTCAGCACCCCTGGGACCTTTCCCACCCCCTAAGCCCCCTGGATTCCCCCACAGTACCCATAGAATCCCCCACAGCCCCTCTGGGACACAGCCCCCCCAGCATCCACAGCTCCCTGCCAAACACCCATCTGAGGTGGGGGGACACAAGGACATCAGGAGGGACACAGGGCCATTGAGCGATACACAAGGACATCGGGGGAGGACAAGGCCACCACGTCATAGGGAGGGAGTGAGGGGACAACAAGGACATGTGGTAGCTGGAACAGCATGGAGGGGGAGACCTCTGGGGAGGGGGGTGGTCCCCAGGGTTTCCATGGAGTGTTTGAGGGGTCCCAGAGTGGATTTGGGATGTCCCGGGGCTTCCCAGCAGCTGTTTGTGGGTCCCAGGCTGGATTTAGGGGATCTGGAGGGCAAGTGTGGAATCCCAGGAGGGTTCTGGAGGGTGTTTGGGGGATCTCAGGGTGGATTTGGAGGAATCTGAAGAGGGATGGAGGGTCCCACAGGGGTTCCCAGGGACTTTGAGGCGTTCTAGGGTGGATTTAGGGGGTCTGGAGGGGGTTGGAGAGCCCCAGCAGGTGTTTGGAGGGGGTGAGAGGGTCCTAGATCAGATTTGAGGGGTGCCAGAGATGTCTGAGGGGGTAGGGGGCATTTTGGGGGGTCTTGTGGTGGATTTGGGGGTCAGGATGTCTTGAGGTGGATTTGGAGGGTCCCAGGTGGTGTTTTGGGGGGGGGGCTGGAGGGTCCCAGAGTAGATCTGGGGGGTCTGGGGGAGGTTGAAGGGTCCCAGGGGTTTTTTGGGAGGATTCCAGGGGTTGGGATATGAGGGGTGCAGAGTGGATTTGGGTAGTCTGAGGGGGTGCAGCGTCCCAGGGGATGTTTGACAGGTGGTCCTGTGGGGAGTGTGGGTTTCCAGGGTTGATTGGGGTCTGGTTGGATTTGGGGGACCAAGGGGGTACCAGGGGAGTGTGGAGGGTCCTGGGGGGTGTTGGGGATCCTGGGGTGGATTTGAGAGAGTCCCACAGGGGCTGTTGGTGGGCATCCCTGGGGGGTCTGGGGAACACTGGGAGTCCTGAGTTGGATTTGGAGGAGTTCCAGGGGGTGTTTGGGAGGGTCCGGGGGGGATCTGGGGGATCCCAGGGTGGATTTTAGGGGTCCCAAGGGGGGCTTGGGGGATCTCAGAGTGGATTTGGAGGGGTTCTGAGAGGAGTTTTGGGGTCCCAGGGGAGTTTGGGAGTCCTTGGGGGATACTGGGAGGTCCTGGGGAGGCAGGTGTCACAATCCACTAGTCAGGAGCACAATGTTCATTGTAAATTCTCGTCATGCTGAACAAAGACCCCAGACAGGTGTCAGGGAACTTCTGTGTACAGTCATTTTCACACTGGCAACGAACCACTGTTTAGACTCAAAAGATGTTGGCCAACAAGCCCTTAAATTTTACAAAACACTTCAACAAGTGTCAGCTAACAAGCCCTGAATTTTTGCAGTACACTTCAATAAGCTCTGAATAAGCAACACTACTTCTCAAAGTTGCTGGCCACCAAGCCACTACACACTTCCACAAGCTCCCCACTCCCACAGCAAATTTCTGTATGGAGTATGGGGTAGAATATGATATTTGCTCTTTACCCAGACAAAGCAAGGGGGGAGACAAATAAAGGCAGAAGAGAGGGAGAGAACAAAGGTTACCAGTCCTTAGATCCCGCGTTTATCCCGCCACATGGATGGTCCAGAGTTGAGGTGGTGAGACAAAGAAAAAGAGAGGGAAAAGGGAAGAGAGGGGACCGATCCACTTCCTTTCATAGTTAACCTGTTGCGGCCTCTCATGTAAACTAGATTTTTCACGCTGTTTTGGTTCGTGCATGAACAGCCAGCCCTCTGAGCCCTCCAAGACATGAGTCAGGGGGGACTGAGCACGACTCTCAAGGTGGAGCAGGAAGCTGGCTCAACAGAGATGGGGAAGTTGCCTCACCTCTGCAGGACCCTCTCTTCCAATCACAAGTTTCCTGTCGCGACAGTCAGAATGTTTGAGACAAAACATGCATATGCCTGGTCCTCCACTCCAATCCATAGCTCAAACATTCCTTACTGTTGATTGGGCATAGGGCTCATCTTCAGCTGCAGTGATCTTTACGTAGCAGAGAGAGGGAGAGAACTGAGAGGAAGCAGAAGACAGTAAGCAGCCAATCATACAGCAAATAAGGGCCATGCCCATCATTTAAAACAGAAATCCAACCAATGTTGTGCTCCCAATTTGTGATAACCCCTTTCTCCACCCTATGAGCCCCAAAAATTTTAAAGAGAAGAAATCTACAGTCCAAGGTACAATTCATTGCATCAGTCCTTTGGTTGCATTGATAAGAATAGTTCAGCTGTCTGGCCTTCATCTTTGCTTCGGCCTCTTTGAAATTGTAGCATTGTGGATGGTGACGCAGCACTCCCTGTTGATGAGGCTGAGTATCCCATGTACCCCTTAATAATCGGGTGTGCTGCAGCACATCAATCTCTCAGAGGTTGTTAAATTGAACACTCTGATATGACACAGGGAAGGAATTCCAATACTGCATTTCAATCCAGCATGGTATTCCAGTGTTAGATAGGAATAAAATTTTCCACCTGAACATCTCCAAGCCAGCCCCAAATGGACTGTATATTTTGCCATTTTACAATTATAGGTGTTAGTAAGACTCAGGATATTTATTTGTAGTTCTGTATACAGGCCAATTTCTCTTATGGGGCTTCACACTGAGAAATGTATGAGGTGTTGATGCCATTACAATTACAAGTACGCGTATTTCTACTCAAAGTTCCAATGCTAGATATAAACCATGTTTCAGATGGGGTGTTCCCAGGTCAAGTGTTACAAGTAATAAACATCACAGCAAACAAATTCATAGGCAACAGAATCTTAGTCCTTCCTGTGTAAACCAGGAGATGGCAAGGCAAAGCTCTTGGATGCGAGACCCCCATAGTCTTACAAGTTGTTGCATTAGCTTCCAAGCTAAGTTTGGCATCTTATTACAGTAGTTTACATTTAACAGGAACAAGGCACAAATGACACATTGCCAAAAGATCCTGGTCAATAGCAATAGGTACAAATTATAAAACCACCAGGAAAACAACAATACAAGGTCAAAATTCCTGACATTAACATCAATCTATAGTACAAGGTTAATTGCTCCATTGTAGTTCTTGTAGGAAAGGAGAAAGGGAAAATGCCCAGTCCTAAACTGATGGGTAAATAACTGAACAACCATTTTAAAACTCTTTGTGTGCTTTCGTCTGTGGCTTAACTAACATAGTCTGCTTGGGTTAGTCCAGATACAATCTCCACATTTGAGGTGGGAATACTTACAGGGCCTCCCTTCTCCTCATGTAACTGATCCTGCAATAACTTTGATATCTCAGTCACTGTTTTGGTAGCAATTTGCTGACCCTGATCATTTTTTCTGGTTTCAGTTTTAATTGGGAGTCCAGATTCTACATCATGCACATCCCAGAGCTCCCCCTGAAGCCTCCTAATATGATTGCATTTGGCAGCAAGCAGCCCTTCTGCCTGCAGCCTCTTTTCCTGATTACGCTCAGCAGCAACCATCACCTTTTCCTGAAGCCTGCTCCCCCTCTCCAGGGGATCTAAATCCCCTGACCAATAGGCAGCCCTTTGGGTTAGGCACCAGAGTTCACAGGAATCATTTACACTTAGGAAAATCCCCGGTTCCCAGTATCCCTGGGCCTCCTCTTTTCATCTTCTTTATGCTCCACAGCAGCTGCTGCCTGCACTTTTTCAGTGTCTCTCTTCTCCATAGTTGGCTTCAGCTACCTGCACTCGTGGCTCTCCCTTCTCTTCCACAACTACTTCTCCAACCTTTTTTGCCTCCTCGTCTAACACTCCTGTCTCTCTCTCTTTCTCTTCATCCTCCTCAACCACTCTTACTTTCAATTCCCCCCGGGTTAGTCACTCTCTTTGTTTCTAAGAGTTTTGCAGGCTGATCAAGCCTCTCATCGATTCTTTATCTGAGCCGTTAAGTCCTTGTACTCCCCCCTGCCAGCTTCTCATTCCTGCCAATGTATGCCTCTCTGCAATGCCTCTTTTAATGTATTCTGCCTCTTGACAGCCTTACAAAGTTTGATGTGCATTTGTCTGGTATGGTCCCTTTCCACATGCCACAGAGATTCCAGTTTCCCTCTCTCGTTTTGCTCTCTGTCTGAACGTTTTTGTATAAATTTTTCTGTCTTGTTTTGCTCTCTATCCAAATGTTTTAGCGAGGAGTCATGAATCCTTTTATCCTTACCATCAGCACAACACAATATGCCGCATATGAAGATGAGGGTGGGGCAAGCATTGTCTCGAGCTGGTTCCTCACCAGGGGATCCCAAATAAAGAAATCCCTGGGCAAGGACACCCCAACAAGCTCCACTGCCCCTCCCTCAGCCCAGACCAAGAGCATTATCAGGGCCTGGAGGCTTCTCGCTCTCCATTGCTTTGCTGTTTGTTCCCAAGGGGCTGCCACGTGCTCAGCTTCACCCCCTCTGAGGGGAGTTTTGGGGGGTGGTTGGGCTGCAGTCCATGGTGGAACATGGTGGTTACAGCTCATGCCCCGCCATCCATGGGCTGGAAGCTGCAGCTTTGTGTGTTCCAAAGACTGGGCATGTTCCAATCAGCAGCTCCAGCTTTCCCTTGGATCCATCTCTGCCTGACACAACACAGAGAAAGTTCATCCCGTGGCCTCACAACTCCAGTTCTTTATGTCAAGCAAGCACTGAGATGCTTTCCAATGGAAAATGTTCCACACAGAAGGCCTGGAAGCTGAGTGGGTTGGTTCCATATCAATCACATGCCTCGCACCCCACTCCTCAAATGTCTGGCCTGAGTCCACTGACCCTCCCCAGACTGCTGGGCAGCTGGTGCTGGAGGCTTAGAAGATCGTTCACTCCTCCAAATGGTAGAGTGAATCCTGAAGAGACCCTTGGAAGCTAAAAGAGGGTTTAGGCCCAAAAATGAGCCTTTGGACTTGCTAAAGAAGACTTTGGACTCTACAAATGAGGCTCAACTGGCCAATTACAGTCAGTTTAGGTCTTTGCCAAACCTGAAAACAAACCCAACCTGCTCTGTTCTTCCTTGCATGGTCTCACTGCTGACAGCAGTCAGAAGCAGCACTTGGGATGAGGTTTGGTTTCAGTCAGGAATCTCACACTGTGTGAGACTTCCTGCTCCAGGAGAGAGTCCTGGGCATTCCCTCCAGCCTCCTCTGGATGGCTTCAGGTCAGGATGCTGAGGGGAGGACAACTGTTTCTCTCTCTCTACTTGCCCCTTCTCTGCAGCCTCTCCAGCAGCAGCACTTTACTCCCAAGCTTTGACAGAACCACTTAGAGAGCCTTTCCCTTCCCATCAGGGATCTAAAGGACAAAGGAGCTGGGAGGAAACAGCCCTTGTGCTGGGTTAGGCCTTCCTAGCATGTCCAGAGATGGCCAGGGTGTGTCCTGAGGCTCCTGAAAAGAGGACACTGCTGGAAAAGGAGTCCCATGGCCCTGGAGATGGATGAGCCCATAGTGGCACTTTGGCCATGACATCCACCAGAACTGAGGAGTCTTTGAAGCACACCTCCTCTAACTGTACTCCTAGGAGGAAGCGGCCCCCAGAATGGCACTGATTCCAGTGATGTCCCTGTTTTGCCCTGATCACTCCATCCATAGCCACAGCACCCTGCTACCACATCTCTTTTCAGTGTGGGGCACCACAGAACTGTGGAGCCCTTTGGGTGCAGGGGAGGGTCACCAAAAGGAAGGACTCAAACCTGGATACTACTGAAATGGTCTTCTGGGGCTCTTTCAGCACTGAGCAGAGCACCTCAGGCCTTGTTCTTAGTCCCTGTGCTGCTTTGGGTCTTGGTGTCTGCCAGATGAAGACCTTGGAAGCAGAGTCCTCAGGCACCCTGGCCTGGGCACTCCTTGATGGTGATGTGCTTCGGAAAGGAACATTCTTTTCTCCTTCTCTTCCAAGAGGAACTTTATTTTGTTCTTCTCTTCCTCCTCTGCCCCTCTGAGGTGTTGCTGCCTATATGCGGCTCAGCTTTGCCACTTGGCCCTTAGGTGCAGGTTTGCCCTTGGCTCGGTCAGTCACAGGCTGCTTTTTCCAATGGTGGCCCCAGGATAGCTGGTGGCTTCCTGGAAAAACACAACAGGAGGGTTCTGCCTGAGGGCAGGAGGGGTCTGGGGCCACATTCTGCCCACCAGAGCCATGTGCTGCTCGGCCCATGGCTGTACTCAGCTCAGGAGAGGAAATCCCTTGAGCTGGGACCCTCGGCTGGCACACGGCTGTCCCCACGCACAGCTCAGGCTGGGGCTCTTCTGAAGGGCTGGAGAGGAACCAGTCCTGTTACATGGGGGGCTCTCAGAAACCCCAGGCTCTCTGGATGCTGCCCTCACTGCTCCTGGGCAGTGGTGGATGGCATGTTTGGTGCTGGGAATGGCTCTGGCTGGAGCAGGAAAAGGCCTCACACAGACACCAGCTCTGAGCCTCATGGCTCACCTGACCCAAGAACTGCCCCTCATCTCCATCACCTCCTCATCCCAGGGCTGCTTCCCTGCCTTAGTAGTGGAGCTCAAATGAGCAGGTGCAGGCAGTCCAAGAAGCCTCCCAGGAACCAGGAACGAGAGACCTTGTCAGAACAGCAAGGCTATGATGCTGCCAGCCACAGTGACACACAGCAATGCTGAGGCCTCTTCCCAATGTATCCAAGAGGGACTTCCCACTCCCCTTGCACCACTGTTTCCAGAGGCCTGGCACCCTCCTCAGTGCCAGCGCTTGCTGGCCTCCTCTGCAAGCACATCCATAGTGCCAGATTTGGGACAGGGAAGCTGGATGACGCCCCTGAGGTGACGGAGTCTCTTTCAAAAGCAGAGGCAATTTCCCAGAGTTGAGGATAGGCCCTCGGATCGCCGCCCTTCTGCTGTACCCAGGGTTGGGGGTCTTGGTCACCTCCCACCTCAGGGCTCAGCTCTTGTGGAGCCAGCCTGAGGAGAAATGGCTGTGCTGAGCTGGCACCAAGCTTTGTCACAAGCCAGATCCTTATGACAATCATCACTAGGAATTCTTCCATCAGATCACAGAAACCAGTTGCCCATGCTATGGAAATGAGATGGGAGCTGCTTTACCTTCCATGCCTCACCTGACAGGTGGCAAGTCCTCTTTTTTCTTCCACTTGTTCCCCACCAGGGACATGTCTCAAGGCCCTGAGAGAATCCCTGTGCGGTGATGTGGGCAGAAACTCCAATTCGGACATGGAGACAGAGACAGCACAAGCCCGATCCACAACACCACCAGCCCTTGCCACTTGCCATGGTCATCTGCTCACAGGCAAGTTTTGGCACTGGTTGTAAAGGCCACTGTTTTCCCAAGTCATCTGTGCCCCATCCCCAAGGACTATCCTGGGAGATGACATCACCCAGTAAAGGATTCCTGACCTTGATGGGGAAGCAAGTGTCACCTAAAATCCTTCCTCTGTTCCCTCAGGTCTCCTCACAGGAATGACCACCAGCCAGACACAAATGAGAGTTGCTGCTTTTCCAGTCATGGAAAGCATGGGCACCCCACGGGATACTGTAGGAGACGCAAAGTCCTTATATAATAAGGAAAGACACCTCTTCATGTGATGGTGAACAAAGAGACTTTATTTTAAAATCTGCACTGTTTTATCCTTTAACACCATGTGACTTCTTTAGCCAATAAGGTTACCTATGTCGGCACATGCTCCTCTGGGCTCCTCTGCCCCGGCACACACCCTGTGCCTTGGACACGCCTCCCATATCACCCCTCTCTTAATTATCTAAAGAAGTCACGAAAACAGTGCAAAACAACAGTGCAAACAGTCAGAACAGTACATTGTAAACTACCAAGGCTCGCAATGACCCAGCACATCGCTTGCTTGGCCTCTTATACTTCTACTGTAAACTTTTTAAAACTTTCTTATATTCCTATAGGGTAGTGCAACTTGGAGAAATAACTTTATTAACTTAGGGGCCTTAGCCCAACCATGTATAAAGCTATAACTTTTATTAATCTGAGGGTTTTTAAATAACTGGGGATTTCAACTTTATTTAGGAAACAGGCTAAACTTAACAAAACTAAATTCTTTTAAAGTGACCTTGTGGTTGAGGTAGCGTTATTTTGTGAGGTGTTCTGTGTTTTGATTTTGTCCAGTCAAACAACTCTTTTATTCATTCACTCTTCTCATTCACTGACGGCCGTCATTCACTCACACACACACGGATACTTTACAGACTGCTTTTTACCACATTGGTCATTTCTTAATGTAAACCTGAAACATAAACATAACTCTTTTTAAACTTCTGTGTTACTCCGGTTCCTGCTGCTGTGGCTGTGTACCTAAATAGGGTTTCACACACCTGGAAGGAATCCATTTAAGTTCTTTTCCTGTAGCCACGCAGGCATAACCTCTCCCCCAAGTCATAAGATCTAGGGGTCCTGTCCATTGTCCTGAAACCAAACCCTTTACCATGACTAGTGGCTTTGGAGAGGCAAAGCCTGAGATTTGTGCTGCTTTTCATACCTGCTTCTTTCAGCACTGTCATAATTTAAAAAATTGATAACATATGTGACTTTCCACAAACGTTCTTGCAGACTATACAGATTCTCCCCCTTTTTTTGTCTAGCTAACATTTCCTTCAGTATGCGGTGTGCCCTTTCTACAATTGCTTGTCCAGTTGGTGACTGTGGAATACCTGTGACATGTAAAATTCCCCACTCTGATAGGAAATTTCTTACCTTTTCTGAGATGGATGCTGGTCCGTTATCGGTCTTTATTTGTTTTGGGGTACCAAGGGTAGCAAAACAACTGAGCCAGTGTCTCATTACATCCTTGGCTTTCTCACCTGTGTGTGCTGTGGCAGCTATGTATTGTGAATGTGTGTCTACAGTTACATGTACATATTTTAATGTGCCAAATTCAGAGATGTGTGTAACATCTGTTTGCCAGATCTCATTTGCCATTAACCCTCTGTGGTTAACGCCTTCCTGAGATGGCATGGCTGTGATTTTCTGACAGTCTGGACATGTCATAATAATGTTTCGAGCCTGATTAATTGTTATTTTGAATTGTCTCTTTAGAGAGCGTGCATTCTGATGAAAAAATGAATGGGACAATTTTACTTGTTCTAGGACCCTGGGTATTGTGTTAAACATTGCTACTTTGTCAGCTTCCCGGTTCCCTTCAGCTATTGGCCCTGGCATGTCAGTGTGAGATCTGGTGTGCATTATGTAGAAATCAAACCTTCTGTGATTGACAAGGACCCAAATAGAACGCATTTCAAACAACAGATGAGGGTTAGAAACATCTCGAAGAAATGAACATTCCAGACGTGAAACTAACCCTGCAGCACAACAAGAATCAGTAACAATATTAACAGGTTGTTCAGAAAACTTTCCCAAGGCAATACGAATGGCAGCCAGTTCCAGAACCTGCACAGAGCATTGGTTCATGGTCTGTACCTCTCGCTCCTATTGTCCTGTATCAGGGTTACCGAAGTCACTGCAGCCTTTTGTGTTCTTCCAGATGCATCTGTAAAGACTGTGAGGCTTTTTACTGGCTCAGTTTTGCATCTGGCTGTGGCTTTTAAAGGTAAATTACTGATTTCTGCCCACAATCTGTGCTTAGGGAGATTGACCGAAATGTCACCATCAAAACTTGCCAAGGCAGCTTGGAATCCTGCGTCCTCAGTCAGCATCCAATTCAAATTGTCTTTTGTGGACAATTTGGACGACTACTTCCGTCCAGTTCCTGCAGTCGTCCTCTGCCTTTAATGACAAGCTTAGCAAACATTTCATTAATCATCCATACAGTTTTAGGTGGTGTGTGGGGCAGAAACAGCCACTCCAGAACTAACAGCGGGTCTTTCTCAGTTTGATCCCACTGAAACAAGACTGCAAATGGCTGGTACCTGCTGGGAATTAAGGCTAGGCAGATTTGCAGTTTAGGATTTCTCCTCCTGCCCTGCCTATTTCCTATCACCTTGGCACAAATGTCTAACGCCTGTTTTGCCTCTGCTGTCAAGAGACCTGTTAGATGTTAGGCCAGAGTCCCCCTTTAGCAGCAGAAATAGAGGGTGTAGCTCCTCTGTGGTTAAGCCTAGGATAGGCCTTAACCAATTAATGGCTTCCAGGAGTTTTTGCAACTCATGTAAGGTTAAAGTGTCTTTTACCTCGAGCTGCAGTGGCTGTGGGGAAATTTCTTGCTGTGTAACCCTCCATCCAAGATAGCTCTAGGGCTGCGATTGCTGGATTTTCTCTGGGGCAACCTGCAAGCCTGCTTCTTGGACAGCATCAGTCAAAGCAGTAACAACAATTTGCAGTTCATGTTCTGTGGCCATGCTAATTAAAATATCATCCATGTAGTGATAGATGATAGCATAGGGAAAACGCTTTCTGATGGGCTGAATAGCGTTTGCCACTACTGTTTGACATATTGTAGGACTGTTTTTCATCCCCTGAGGAAGGACAACCCAGAGATACCTTTGCATGGGCTGTGCATTGTTCAAGGCTGGGATGGAAAAGGCAAACCTTGGCGCATCCTCGGGGTGCAGGAAGATGGTAAAAAAAAACAGTCATTTAAATCAATTATTATTAGCAGCCAATTTACTGGGGGCAGAGCGGGTGAAGGCAGTTCTGGCTGCAACACTCCCATAGCTTCTGTGACTGCGTTAACTGCCCTGAGGTCCTGTAGCATCCTCCATTTGCCACTCTTTTTGGGGATGCAAAATACAGGAGTATTCCAGGGACTGTTTGTTGGCACAATATGTCCTACTTCTAATTGTTCTCTTACAAGCTTTTTTAAATGCTCAAGCCGTTCCCTTTTCAGAGGCCATTGGTCTACCCAGACCGGCTTGGGACGGCTAACCAATGGCCCCTATTGAAAAATTTGGCTGCTTGCAGGAGGAATTTGCATGACTGTGCCAAACTGCCCTTCTCTCCCCCACAGTGAACAAGGAATTGGAGCAACAAAAGGAGCTACCTTGGCTATTTGTCCCTCTGGTCCCAAGACAGTGAGTACTTGGGCACTCTGTCTGGGTCTTTGTGTGCCTCCCACCCCCTGAATGGTTGCAGCTGGGCAAACCGTGGGCCAGTCAAGTGGCCATTCAGAGTCCTTTATGATGGAAACATCGGCTCCCAAGTCCACAAGGCCTGTAAATCTATGCCCATTAACCTGGCACGTCATGAGCGGCTGTGTGGCTGTGATGGCTGCTGCCCAGTAAACTTGTGGCTGTCCTGTGCTACCAAAGGCCCCTGAACCCCGTTCCCTCTCCCCCTCCCCCGCAGGCGATGCACTGTAGAAGGGGATTAGTTGAGCGATTTTCTGTCCCTTTGGAATGAAACAGGGGGGTGAAGGAGTCCAGGCCATTATTTGAATCTTGCTATGAGAATCTGAGTCTATCACTCCAGGCAGCACGAATAAACCCATTCTGGTGGTGGAGGACCTTCCAATCAGTAGTGCGTATACCCCTGGGCTAAGGGGACCCCAATGCCCAGTCGGGATTAGCACTACTTCTGTGAAAGTTATGAAGTCTGTGTCGCGGTTGAATAAGTCCAGCCCAGCGCTGGTTGAGGTGAAGGGGCACAAAGCGCTGGCTGAGGGGGGGGGGCACAAATTGCCAGCCTTAAGCTGCTTCCTCTCTTGCTCGGGAAAACGGGTGGCAGAGAGGAGGATTACAAGCAGCACGGCAGCAAGCAGTACAATGCTTATGGCATAGCTTTTGCCTTGCTTATGGTACCCTTGGTATAATTCAGTCCACTCCCTGCTGCTTAGATAGCTGTGGGATGTTGCTGCCAATGGTCTCCAAGGACAATCTCTCTGAGAGTGGTTACTGTTACCACATGTAACACAGCTAGCTCCGTGTCTGGCTTCATCCTTTACTTCTAACTGGGCTTTTAGGGTTATAGCAAAGGAGTTAGATTGGTGTTTCACAGAGATAACTCTTTGGTAGGGTTGAATTAGCTCAGCAATTCTGTAGCTCTCACATTTAGGAAGGGTCTGCAAAGCTCTTTCACAGCTTGTGTTCGCCTTTTCAAAAGCCAATTGCTTATACAGCATCTCTCTGGCTTCATTGTATTCAACTTGCTTGTTTAAAGCAGACTGCAGCCGATTTAAATATTGTGGGTTTGGTTCAGCACAACTTTGTAACACTTTTGTTCTGGGCAGATTGCTGTATTGGTCTGTTGTGTGAAGGTTTTTCATAGCTTTTAGGGCTTGTTTAGCTATTACACTGCATATCTCTCTATGGTATTTATATTGTGTATCTATTGAACTATAATTTGCATCCCTGGTCAAATAGGCCAGCTACACGTTGTCCTCCAATCGTGTGGCATACCTATCAACCGATACTTCCCCGTTTGCTATTTCACTCCCTCCAGGTGAAACGATCCCGGTTCCCTCCTCCCCACCCCCCCATTCCTCCCTTCCTGTGGCTCCTGTGAATTCGGTTCCCTGGGGGGGGGGGTGGCGGTGGGTGGTGGGGGCGGTGCAGGGGCGGGGTTACGTCCCTCATTGTGCCTGTGGGTGGGACAGGGTAGCGCTGGAGCGGGAAGGGACAGATCGGTCCCCGGTCCATGTGGTGGGCGAGATGGCGGCGCCCATCCCTGGGCGCGTGGTCGGCGGTCATCTGCGGTATGGGGTGGCAAATATGCTGGGTTAGCCCCCCCATCGCCATTACGGGGCCCCCTGAGGCGGTCCCACGGGCTGGGATCTCGCATCACAGGCCCCGTCCCTTCCCGCCGGTACCAGTACTTAAATCATGAACGGCTCCGCTCCCTGTATGTCCCTGTTTCTGTTACTATGTTGCAAGTTTGGTAATTGCTTGTGTGTGTGTCTTGGGTCAGAATATGGTAAGATTTAGCAGTAAAGTTAATGTTTCAATGTTTCATGAGGTCTCTATGGAAACAAAGTGTTTTATGTTACCTAAGCTCCAGGCAGCTGCTGGTGCACATGGCTGGGAGTTCCTTTGTGTAGCAGTTTCGGTTTCTCCGGCAGTCGCTTCTCTGAGGCTTTTCTCCTCGGCGTCTCTGTGGGGGTCCACTCGGGTCCCTGGGGCTCTGGTGCGGCTGCGAGGCGTCCCTCAGTGCAGCACGAGGTGCAGGGGTCACTCCGGTGGCGGCGTAGGGCTGCTCTCGGCGCGGGCGGTGTGCACGGTCCCAGCAGCGATGGCAGGCATGCTCGGCGGCGCGGCAGCAGGTTCCCTCTGGGTTTGTGGTGGCTTTCGGTGGTTTTTCCTCAGTGTGGAGGCTTCACGCAGTGGCTATAGGCATGCACGGGTTCGGCGGGGGCAGCGGGCGAACGCGGGCAATGTTAAGGCGGCACTGGGCCCCGTTAGACGGGCACTCCTGGAGCGGGTCCCTGCGGCGGGGCTTTTAAGCCTGGCGCGGAGCCGGCAGGGGCAGCAGGCAGGCGGGGAGCCGTGGCAGTTTCTGCTATGCAGAAACCGTGCAGGCTTCACGGGGTCTGGTGGTCACTGAGGATGTTAGAGGCGGCAGCGGCGAAGCCGCTTTTTACGCGCACGGCCGAGCCGCGGCAAGCAGCGGGACTTCCCCTGGCGGTTTCAAGGTGCTTTGCCACCCGGGTCTCCGAGCTGCGGCGCACCGCACCGGTTAGGGAGAAGTCCTTGCTGCGTGCGGTGTGCCACTGCCTTTCAACTTGACTCACCACTCCGGCATAAGTCGGAGTCCCGTCCGCCCTCTCCAGCCGCTTCGATCTGTCGGCTTTTTCTTATCTTCATTCTTCTTCTCGTATCGTGCACTTTTTCTAATATTTTGGAGCTCCTAAACTAACTTTCCGTTTCTCAGACGCCACTGAGACAACGATTACAGACGTCTTCGGTTTTTTTGGTGAAAATTCCCGCCTCCACAAAATTGAGCAGATAACGGAATTACCGAGTGTTTTGCCTGATTCAGGATAATCTAAACTGACTTAATATAAGTTTAAAAAGTCCCAAGTTTGGGTGTGCCATATGTAGGAGACGCAAAGTCCTTATATAATAAGGAAAGACACTTCTTCGTGTGACGGTGAACAAAGAGACTTTATTTTAAAATCTGCACTGTTTTATCCTTTAACACCATGTGACTTCTTTAGCCAATAAGGTTACCTATGTCGGCGCATGCTCCTCTGGGCTCCTCTGCCCCGGCACGTACCCTGTGCCTTGGACACGCCTCCCACAGGATACCATCATGTCTAGCTGCTGGAGAACCTGCAGCAGAAAAATGTGAAGATGCCAGGACATCCTCAACGTGGCCAAGGTGCCCAAGAGTGGAGGAGTTCAGAGCAGCAAGAACTGGTGGAACTGTGCTCCCACCTGGCTGGAGCTGCTGACCACGTCCTGATGGACCACTTGCCAGCAGTGGTGGGGAACTGCTGTGGGTCTGCCCAAGCACGGGAAAAAACAAAAGGCTCACCCTTTCCTGGAGCCTCTCCCCAGTCATCCTCTCCAGGACGCCAGAGTAGAATCTCATTTGCCGTCTCCCACCTTCGCTGAGGAGCACCTCTACATCCCTCAGGACAAAGGCCATCCTCTCCCCCTTCCCCAGGCAGTGGGACAGGAGGGATGTAGTGCTGAGGATGCAGCCTTCCACTTTTCTCTGGAATACAAAGGCCTCCACAGCCACTTTGGCATAATTCAGAGGCTCCGGCTGCTTATTTCCTGGAAAACCACATGAGAGGGACAGAGGCACTCCCCCAGGGCCTGGCCACGGGCATTTCCCAGGAGCTGCATATTACAGCCATCACCCAGCGTGTGGGGCCTTCCTGGGTTCTTCCTGGGTTCGGACCTGTGCTGCAGGGGGGAGCTGTTTGCTTTTAGAAAAGGGATGCAATACACCCCTTCACCACAGCCCTGCAGCCAGCCAGGGTTTAACCTGCTGTCTGACTGGCCAAGTTGTCCTTATTATCCAGGAGACTGTGGGCTAATGCAAGACAGAGCATGGGCTTCTGGAGGATCACAGTCTTGTTCTCCATTTGGGTCTCCGTGTGGACCACACTGAAAAAGCTGAGAGTGTGAATTTGGATCCCCTGGAGCAGAAGGGAAGAGCCTAAGGAGGTGAGCCAAGCTTGCCCAAAAAGGTCTGGTAGTGAAGCCCCCAGCAGCCGGACTGTTGGAACTGACGTGTGACAGAGGGGACACACGCACCAGCATAGAGAGGGCAGGACAAGCGCTCTCACCAGAGTAGCTTAGGACCTACCTTACTTATAAGAGCATGAGGAAATAGGTCTTTGGATACAAGAAAGCTTTGAGCCCTCCAAATTACAGCCCAAATCCCAAAAAGGGGCCTTTAATCCCCAACAGGGCAGCTGTGGAAAATAAAAAGAAAGATATGGGGCCAAAAAGGAGCATTTGAATTCTCAAAAGAAGGATTATGACTCCACAAATGAGGCTTTGGACGTTCCAGATCAGACCTTGGGCCTTAAAAATTATGGTCTTGGCCCTCTCAATGAGGCTTTGAACTTTAAAGCATAAATCTGTGAACTTTTAGGTCTGGTTTTATAGTCCAAAATTGTGAGTTTGGACCTTTAATTGACCCTGGTCTCCCAAATGTGGGTTTTGGGTATTTAAAAGGGATACTGCTCTCCCTACTTTGAGGCTTCATCATATAAATAAGGGTTTGTGCTTGGAAAACTTGAGGTTTGATCTGCAAAATAATAAAAACTAATCCTTTGGGATTGAAATTGAGCTTTGGGCTTGAACTTTTTTATTTTGAGTTTTCACTTTTTTTTTTTTAATAATACTGCAATAGATGGTTGATATTCCAGGGAACATGCTGGGGTGGGTATTGCAATACAGGGAATGCTTGAAGGAAGGGGTTATGTCCTAGTTAGGACAGCTGAGTTCATCATGGTATGGGTGTAACTCAAAACTGTGTATTCTATAGCCTTCCA